ACTGAAATATTTGCCTTCTTTTAGTAAACAAAACGTAATAGTTTTATTTCCCTTTCCGTAGAAGTAATTGAAAAAATGAACTATAATGGGATTTGCCTTAACGTTGCATATGGCCACCGGACCATAATAAACCCTTAGGTTACAGAAACTTCACGCCCATACTAACGAACCACAATAGATGGCCTAAATATAACATGCTTTTAATGCATAGAACCATCAGTCTCATATATCCCTAAAAATGATAAAACAATGATTAAAAGATGATAATCTTGTCTTAAGCATCGGTAAAAATTCTTTTTCTTTTTCTTTTTTTTTTTTTTTGCCTTAGTTGGGACTCACACACACTGTCTCCACTGAAGTTCGAACCCCTGACCTCAGCCTTATACCGCTACGCCACAAGCCTGTTGGTACATCAGTAAATTATCATACCCTCCGTCAAGAACTCCAAATAATAACTCAATCATTCAACTAAATACCATTTGATAGCAGCAAAACAATTGACCCAAACCCTCTCAAGTGTATGACAAATCAAAACTTTTTAATTGCAGGCTCTATGAATGTCATTTAAGAGGAGGCACTCCTGCGTAAAGCTTGAGACTTCCTGGATTTGCCGGTCGTCAGTTGAGACTCGGGCTGCAAAATGGGAAAGGGTGTATAAGATGAGTAAAGTGAAAATTTATATCCTCATTGCCCTAAGCACTAATCTTTCTCAAAATTATATGTTAAAATTAAGTAGTGATAAATGGATTACCTCCTTTTTTTACGGGCTCTTCCTTCTCGGACAGAATCAGTTCAATATGGCCGGGAGATGATGTTGGAAATAGTGGCCTAGTTACACACACAACACTATACTATTTGGAAGAGAATAGAAATGGAGGAAAATATTTCTTATTTCACTTGATATATTATTTGACTAGAGTACATGAATATATAGGCCTCACATATGTATGTGTAACCATTACATTTAAATGTCCATAACTCTCCTATCTCCCACTAACATAATCTTCAATATGCATAACTCCCACTAACATAGTATTTGTTAGGCTTAACTCTCATGACTCTTTATTTTACATAACCTTAACTCCCATTAAGACAATTTACTACCCACTAACATGCTAAATTAACACATGCATCATGGATACAAAAATACTTGAAAATACTAAATACTAAAATCAAGTTTATTTTCAACACCCCCCTTTAAACTTGATTTTGTAACTTGAAAAACCTTCTTATTAATCTTGGGGGCTTGATCAAAAGTTTGATAGTTGATCTTCAATTCCACTCCCTTCAATAGCTTCAATCTTCTTGGCCATTTCCATTGATGTGTAGGGCTTGTGAAACTTCTTCAAATGCTTGTTTGATGTCTTCACATAATCATATATCATCCTCTTTATACAAGCACACCATCGATCTTTTTTCTTCTTAAATTTTTTATGGATCTTCAACTTCACATATACTTCTTCTTTAGAGTCAAAAAATAATTCCATATTCACCCAACCTGTATCAATTACAAAATTCTCCAAACTATTTTTTAAAAAATAATATGAGAATTTCTTATCATCCTGTGCTTCAATCTCATACTTCTTTGGAACAACTTTCTTTAAAAGAAGTTCATCATTCTCCACAAAATAAGCATTATTTGATGAATATGAAGAAATAATAATTTCATCAAATAAGTCAAATATAACTTCTTTCAAGGTGAAATTTGTAACCATACCTGAAGATGTTAATTCACCAACTTGAACTTTTGCCTCTTCTTTAGCACTTCCTTCTTCTAAATCTTCTATTTTCACTTTATCCTCCTTCACTTTTTCAATCTCTTCTTTAACACATTTTCTTACCTCTTCCTTATTCACCATTTCAAATTCTCCTTCAACTTTTGAATCTCCAAAATCTTCAAGACTTTCATAATCATCTTTCTTAAACTCATCATTCTCAAAGCATTGTACCCAATACTCCATGGGTAGTGATTCACTTCTATGATTGGAAACGATGGTCTCGAGCATCTTCCAAATACAACTTGGAGTTTTGGACTCTCCAAAATACTCCCAAATTTCTTGATGTATTGCCTTTTGCAACACTATCAATGCCTTATCTTCTTTCTTTTCATGAAGCTTGTTGGACATGCCATTCTTTGGCTCTTCTCCAACAACATCCCACAAATTGCATGCTTTGAGGTATGAAGTCATGATGATTCTCATTCTCTTGTAATTAGAGAACATCATCTTTTCACTAAGAAAATACATTTTCTCCCCTTCATCATCATCAAGGAGAAACATGTTTTTCTTAAATGTTGAACCTTCTAGGATCAACTTCGTCTGGCCTTCAGGATCGTCTAGGCTCTGAACATGAAATCTGCCTTTGAACATGAAATCTGGCTCTGATACCACTTTGTTGGAAATAGTGGCCTAGTTACACACACAACACTATACTATTTGGAAGAGAATAGAAATGGAGGAAAATATTTCTTATTTTACTTGATATATTATTTGACTAGAGTACATGAATATATAGGCCTCACATATGTATGTGTAACCATTACATTTAAATGTCCATAACTCTCCTATCTCCCACTAACATAATCTTCAATATGCATAACTCCCACTAACATAGTATTTGTTAGGCTTAACTCTCATGACTCTTTATTTTACATAACCTTAACTCCCATTAAGACAATTTACTACCCACTAACATGCTAAATTAACACATGCATCATGGATACAAAAATACTTGAAAATACTAAATACTAAAATCAAGTTTATTTTCAACAGATGACATATATGCTGCCAAAATAAATAATACGTTCCGTCAATCTTTAAAACACAGAAGAAATGCACAAGACAGTATAAAAGAAAGCAAGAAATCATCAATCAAAATTAAAAAAACACTGTTCCTTATAATACTTTAAATAACTAAACTTTAAACATGAATACCCACTGACGAGTACTTTCAGCATGAGTGATTGAACTCCAGCAAGCAATGCATGAAATCACTTTCTTTACTACAAAAACTGAACCAAAAAGTTGGATTGACCCAAGTGCACAAGCAATTACAAAATGAATCCATTGAAGAGAAAAACTCAATCCAAGCTTCAATCAAACAACGTTTCAGAAGGAAAAGACGAGGTCATTATCTCCTGATGGCAAAGTGTGAGTTTCAACTTCCTAATACTGGAATGATTGTAAACTGATTGAAGCAAATGGAAAAAGTTGCAAGATTCAATGAATCACTCTGTTTAGAGATGCAAACTTGGAGTTTCACCCATTACTCATGTTGTGACAAAATTTCTAAGCAGAGCGTGAGTTAAGTCCATAGAAAAGGGTCCTCCTTTACAGTTTACAAAAACTAATTTAGTCCACTCAAAATGACACACTAGTCAAAATATAAAAGAAAAGTCTCAAAGGGGCATGGAAACAAATAAGAACTCTTGAATTGAAATGGAAATGGAAAAGAAATACAACTCCAATTTATATCCAACTTTAACTAACCCTAGCTGTGAACCAAGAAAAACTGCAACAATATTTTAGAGCATCCAAAAATGCAATAATGCCAGCTATTATTTTCCATCATGTATCGAACCATCCATCACAATAACAAAGCAAAATGCAAAAAATAATAATAACAAAACAACAATAATTTCGTGGTACTTTGAAATGAACTCTAAGATCAGATCCTCTGGCCTTGCACGCTGAACACTGAGACAACACTACAAGATGCAAAACTTTCAAACACCATATTGTAGCTGTTAGAACAGCTCGAATAAGAAAATTACTTACATTTGGTGGGATTGATTCGCTCTTTTGACTACTTCACCTGAAATATTAAGAGAGAAGCTTCAAGACAGCTCTGTATATAGACACAAATGTATATACGTCTGCGTATATAGAGAGAGAGAGTGCAACCATGTTCGTTGCTTCTGCGTTGTGCTTCACTTGTTAATGCCGGGTCAATGTGATGGGCTGGATTACTCTTCATTTTTTTTTTTTCTTTTGTTTGATAAGTATTTGGGCTGTATTAAGAAAAGGCCCATTAAAGTTTGTCACTAGAAGACTTATTTTTGCATTACCCTCCACTATTATAAACCCTTTTTCTTTTTTCTTTTTCTGTCAAATTAAGGGAGTAGAGACTCCTACACAAGCACACCCTCACTCGAGAAACTAGATGTTGCTTCAGTCTAATTGCATAACCGAAATTGTCATTTCACTTTTTTATTTTTTAAGTTATTTTTAAATTAAAATAAAATTAGTATTACAACAAAGCTGATACAATGTTGGCCCATATGAAGTTTGTATTTATTTTACTGTAAAAGGAGGCACATTTGTTTCACAATGATTCATGTAAGTTATTCAGATTTTAGTCCGTTTGTTTCGACGTAAAATATTTTTTTTGAAAAATATTTTTTTTTTTCAGATAAAATATTCTTCTATTTTTACTTTGCCGGTGTTTGGCAAAAAATTTACGTCGAAATTGAGGTCGAGTCCATCATGCGAGACATGTAAAATAATTTGTCGAAAATTTATGGATAAATTATTTTTGTTAAAATTTAATATTTTTTTTTTTCGTAAATATTTTACGATAACCAAACACCAAAAAATAAAAAATATATTTTCTAAAAATTATTTTACGTCTAAACAAACCGAGTTCAATGGCACACTGCATTAGGATATGTCCAAATCCATTCCTTCTTGTCTACAAACTTAATATATCGAAGATTTCCCCAAAACATCAATTTTCAAATTTTGTTTTATCTTTTTATATTTTTCTTTTTCCATTGACGAGAAACACACGTCTTTAACCCTCATTATTCACTTTTAGAGGTAAAAGAAGCACCATTTAGGCTAAGGCCTTTGATATCATTTTTCAAAATTGAGGTACCTACACAACTATTTTGTAGTATAACACTTATACACAACTATTTTATTTTTAATTTTTTAAAATTAAAATTAAAAAAGTGCATCCAGACATTCCAAATATTATTAATTAACCATGCACGCAGCACATATGCTAAGAGGAACAATTGCATTTTAAATATGGAAAATTGTACAATTAGACAGCCTATATGGAGAAAGAAGAATTGTCTGAAATTTCATGCATAGAACAAAATCTTACAAAATTGAACCAATGATGGCTAGCACAACATGAAGTTGTGGTGAATAACACGAATCTCAGTGGAAACAATGAGAGGAATTTACAAATCAAGCAGCAAAGAATTGGTTACTCGGGAAGAAAGAATGAATCAAACTTGGTCAGATTAAGTGTGTTGGATCATCCAAATACAAAATAGTCGTTATCTGCCTTGCATGTCAGAATTGCATCACGGCAAAGGCACCAATACTCTTTGTAGGGGATGAATATCCATGGCATAATCGAAGGCAGACGAGTCCCCAAAGTAGATGGAATACTGCAAAATTGAAAATGTGTGTGGAGAGAGAGAGAGATGAACATATGTTTAAAATTCCAATAATCATGGAAAAATTGAGCTGTTGGAAACAGATAATGGCTACTCACCTTCTTCCAGTGAGAACTCCATAAGCCGATGAAGCAACAAATGACCTAGAAACCGCAGAAAAAGCAAGTCCATAGTGCGGCAAGACTATTTGTCCTGAAATACATATTTCCAAAGAGAGAAAACAAAAAAATACCATATTAGCATGGATGGGCGCAAGAATGCGTCTGAGTATAGATGTCATACTCATAAGCTTTGTTTATGCAGACTTTCTAAACAGGTGAAGCACTATTATCAGACACCCAACAGCTGAATATTAGTACATAGAACTCTTTTATTATGCCATTTTGTTAAATTAATTCAAGAGTTCAAGCCTCCATGGAGGCATGCGTGTGTGAGAACCAACTAGGAAAAAAAAAATCCTCACTTACAAGAATCTAATTCAAGTCCCAATGATGTTACAAGTGATACATTTTTATTAAGAAGGAAGGTAGCATATCACCTCGCTCTTACACGGCAAACGAAGGGAGAAAGTGTACATGTGCATGTAAATGATGTTACTCCGTACTTAAAAACACACATAGACAAAGTGTTTTTATAGTCGACACTGCAAATTGAAAGTTCAAATAACAAATATGTATATCATAGAACAATGTTATTCCTGGCAAACAATTTCATCATCATGTTCGCAAGATTTGTCAATGAATACAAACTAACTAAGTTCGTTAAAATTGCCATCCATTTTATTTTTATTTTAAAAAAAAAAATGCATTCCTGTAGTTGAAATATAACTATATCATTTGCCGCAACCCAAATGTAACTAAAAGCTTAAAGAGTCATCAAAAATAGATCAAGGACTCACGTATGTTCAAAAAGTTGCTGTGAAGAAATGAAACCAAAACAGTGGATCTACTGCTGCTGAAATCCATTGTTTGCTGTGACTCCTCAGATGGCAAGCCATCAGTAAGACATCCAATCTCTGGAGAATTACTTGTGTTACTCTGACAAGATATAACTTCAATCCATATCCCAGAAGGAAATCTTCTCGACCTCACCAACCAAAGGAAAATTTTGGTGTAAGGTGTAGCATGAATGACAGATATGGTGACCTCAATTATTATGCTGATGAAGCTAATGGTTGTGCTAATAATGGTGAAGAAAATATAGAAAACAGAAGTGGTTGGTAGAAGAAGTAATAGTGGCGTAAACAGAAGAGATCCAACAATGTGTTGCTCCACGGTGTAGTCATAGCTATCAAATCTTAGACGAAGAGGATTCCACTTTCGGCCCCTGCCAATAATAAAGCAACTCAGTGAGCAACCTAACCATTAAAACCACCACAAAAGCATGATATCAAAAAGGAAAGAGGGTACCGGACCATTTCCGGGTTGACAAGTATTATCTCTTCCATGAAAACATCAGCTCCAATTAACCAATTCAAAGGCAATTTGTCTTTATTCTTGGCAATAAGAATCCATTAAATCAAAGTTTAAAAGGTCTTTTACAACACACCCACAATAGCCTTTCTTCTCCCCGTCGGAAAATATTCTGCTTTTCAAGTATACAGGGAGATTGTTATTTCATGTGGGGGGCAAGAACCTCTCAAAAAATTCGGCAAAGGAGGATTCCCATCTATAAATTAAGATTGGGACCCTTCTCTCCAAGCACCAATTGCACTCCTACCGGCTCCATCAATTATATATATACTTTTTGTTTATGTACAAATATATGAGAAATTTTATAAATGCCCTCCCTAATATTTTCAATTTCTAAAAATATCTCTGAATTTTTTTTCTTTCTTTTCTCTTTTACTCTTCAAATTCTTTTGATTCCCTTAAAAAAAGTTATAATTCCCTTCTTCAATCAAACTCACTTTTTTTTCTCTTTAAAGTTCTCTCATTTTTCTTTTCTTTCTCTTATTATTCTTCTTCTTTTGTTTGTTTATTTTTTTTTTCCCTCTTCTTAAAATTCTTCCTTTTGCACTCATGTATGATTATATGTATTGTAACCTCTTTTTCTCTTCTTATTTAAATTTATTAACATAATTTTATGAATATATTTTCTGTTTTTTTAATCATTTTTACTGTTTTTTTTTTTTTTTTTTTTTTTTTTTTAATGACATACTATTTGAATATCTTCATTAATGCACCGTTACAAAAATAGATTACTGTCTTGCTGAACAGTTGTCATGTTAGTTGAACATACCTCCCTAACATAGATTCCTAGCTCCATCAGTGTTTTTATTGAGGCTATCATGCATCACTAAATCGATGGAGGCTAACTGAATCGATAGAAAACAGAGGGCAGCTGCCCAATGTACCATAGATAATGAGGTTATCATGCATCACTTTCAAAATATAAGGACCGGTTGAGGACAGTTATAATTGTATTCAATGGAGGTATTAAGAATACATATTTTAATTCTTATATCTGTCAAGTATTTATCTTTGTTATACTACTCCTTGATTACCATATTATTTTGCAATGAATTTTTTTCTTGTATGTCTTGTGATTTGAACAATCTATATTTGTCATGTTAGTTGAATTTTTTTTTTCTTTTATCAAGTCCACACCCTGCCCCAATGAAAAAATGAAATCATGGCTCTGTCCCTCCTGATTATATGGGTGTTGTATCTAGCTGAAGCATTAGGAAAAAACACTAGTTTCTGACAGAAACTCCGAGAAATCCATTCGTGAAAATACTTATGCCTGAACTCATATCCTAAACCTGCCCTAATTTGGTTGAATTAAAAGGGTACCCAGTAACATCACCACTTAGCTTTGTCCACCTAGTAACATCAGTAATTATTTATTTCTCACAAACAAATAACAATTTAGAATTGCCAAATAAAGATTTTAAGAATTTCAACAGTTAATAGGTCAGTATTACCTGAAAAGGCGCCATAAAGCTGCTATTGCTTGTATCTGCTTTGAATAGAGTAGTGAGATTGACCAATGAAGAGCTGACACATGTAATGTTGCTAGAGAAATAATATCTATGATCAAAGCAGCAGGTGTAGTGAGCCCAAAAAGAATCCCAGACACAGCAAGTCCTTTAATAAAATAAATGGAGAGTAACCCCACAAAGAACCAAAGCGTTGACCAAATTTGGATTGCATTAAGAGAAATCATGCCAAGAACTCCTGCCAACTGTGTGTTCAACTTGAAACCCGCTGGAACTCCCATCAACCACACACAACCAGTCCGCAACCAATAGTTCATGATGTCATTGGCAAAGTAAGAAATCCATAGGCAAGCAGATTGTGCATGAATCAGCAATACTAGACCAAGCAAGTTTCCCAAAAGAACATCAACAGCTAGACTTGACCACATAGAATGCTTAAGTAATGCCGCTTTCTCCGCATATTCAACGCATGATCGAGACCTAAAAAATCAATGAAATCCAGAGTAGTAAGGATCTAAAGGACTTCACTCCAAAAACATAAAATTACAAAAAAAAAAAAAAAAAAAAAAAAAAAAAAAAAAAAAAAACACACTCTAGGAACAATACGAAAACAAAATATATTGATAGACATCCAAGTTAATGTCATCTCAAATCAGCCACAAATACATACGTACTATGTCTAAATATTTGTTCACTTGCAAATTTCCATTGCTGCTTTATGAGCAATTTCACAGGAGTGTGTGAAGAACATGTCAGCTTAAGAGTTAAAATGATACCTCAATGACCAGCAAGAACGCAGGGTATAGGTTTTGCAGTCAAGATTTGAGTTGGGGATTTACTTTTAATGATGCATACAAATAACAAAGTCACGTCGTCGAGATTTGCAGGCCAATTTGGACATGAATTCTGCCGGAGGCTGGATTGGTCAACTTTTTGCTATTATTTTTTTATCATCTAAGTTCAACGGAAAATGAATACAGGAGGTTCGGGGAATCATTTTTTTCCTTTTTAATATCAACATTCGACTCAATTTAAATCATCTAAGAACATAAAGTCCAAAATTTTATCAAACTATCAATTTTATAGGAAATAAGTAGAATCATTTGACTTTAACGATTTAGATGCTCAAAATATGTCTAACATGGACACTGCTACTCCTCTTAACATAGTCGAATCAACACAACATGACATGCTATGGGAATGTAATATATGCCTTACAAATCAGAAATCCGAATCCTCTAAATGTGATATTCAACTCAACTCCATAAAGCTTTTCCTCAACTACTTGGAGTCGGCTTCATGAATCCTATTTTTCCATCTTGCTCTGTCAAGGTCATAGTCTCAATCAAATTACATATTATCACATACTTCCTTACTAACTTTACCTGTGTTAATTTTAATCTTCCTCTTCCACTAACACTACCTTCAATGTGGGTCATGTCACTCTTTCTAACTAATGCACTCAGTGATTTTCTATACACTTGTCCAAACCATATTAATCTATTTTCTCTCATTTTATCTCCAATTGATGGCAAACCATCTTATGAATGTGCTATTTTCTAATTTTATCCTTTCTTATCTTACCGCATATCCATCTCAGCATTCACATTTGCACCAAACTCACTTAATGCAAATGTTGTTTCTTAATTGTCTAACACTATGTCCTACATATAAAGACTGACTGGTCTAATAGCTGACATATTTCTAAAAAATAATAATCAAAAATCAATCTAATAGGAATGCATCAATCACACTATATATTTAGACACACTCCTATATTTAATCCATCGTGCCTTGATTATTATTTTTTTCTTTGATAAGTATCATTCCTTGATCATATTATGAAAATCATCTCCAATTTCTCTTTCACTGTGAATAATTGAGTCTAAAATAGCAAAAATGTTCACTTTTTGGTATCTCTTAATTCTCAACTTTCGGTAAATCCCTATTTTGTATTTCTAAATTATTAAAGTTACAATCCATAGATTCAGTTTTATTCTTAATTAACTTAAATCCTTTTCATTCTAGAGCTTTCCTACAAACCTCCAATTTTGCACTTCATCCTCTAAATGTGAAGATTTAAAAAAAATAAATAAATAAATAAAATAAAATAAAATTTGATAGCAAAAGGTTACCTACGTAAATAGATATATTACCTGAGACCATTATCATGAAGAAAGATTGGCCAATAAAAGATCTGACAACAACGGATTTGAATATTTTTCCATGTATTGCTGAATAGTTTTTGTAGTGTGACGTATATCCAAGATTGTGATCCATAACTAAATAAGACATGGAGGAACTGAAGAACAATATAGAACATAGTGGAAAATGAAGCCATGGACACAGCCAACAGTTGCCATGTGAAGGTAAAAAACCTGAAAGCCAGAACATATGTCATTAAAACTTGCAGACAGTAAAAGATTGTGGGCTGAAGGGAAGCATCAAAGTCTAGAAGAGATTACGTGCAAACAATGGCAAAGTGAGCAGTAGATCTTTTAGGGCCAACATGTTTCTCATAGAATAACTTGGCAGCAGTGGCACTGTTTATTGCCAATATGACAGTATCCTGTATACAAATGATTAAAGCAGCAGAATAAATATTTTAAGCAAACAATCTGAATGAGCTAAGTCTTGCGAACAACATTACCAAGTCAAGGAATGGCTGCTTTTGGTCAAGTCCTTCAACCCATTTAGGTCTCCTGGGAGGAGTTTTCAGTTGTTCAGAAGAACTCCAAAAACCCAACGAGAAATGGTGAGCACCAAATTTAGGAGAATCATAGAACACTACCTGAATTTTTGTTTAGTCAAAAGAGGAGATTCATCACAAGGACAAAAATGACTTAAGATTTAATATGCAATAAAGGTAATCATGACTTACATACATGGAGATCAAAGTGTGAAACTGTTTGCTGGTTCCAGTGTATGTGATGCAATTCAGGAATCCACTCAATTTTTCTACTAGTGTATTTATGAGAATCGTATACAAGCTGGATCCAATTATTATTTTCAATGCACGAAAGCCTGCATTGTTCTAATACTCCATCAAGTTTGTGGCATCCACAGTTCAATCTTTCATAATTTTCTCCAAGCACATCTTGACTGCTGCATCGACATATGCTACCATGGCTCGATTTAATTTGATTATCTTCTTCCACTCCCCGTAGCAGTTGACCATTGCTGCAGCAATCTAAAGCACAATGACCTAGAACAGAGAGCATACATTTATCTTGTAAAAGTACTGGCAGGTTTCCATTTGTTTTACGAAGGATCCCCTAGTAAAAAGAAATAGGCATCACCATCAGAAATTAGAAAAATAAAAAATAAAAAAAGCACTATCACATAATTAACAAAATTGGATAACTTTTATCCTGGAGGTGATAAAATAATAGGGCAAGGAACTCTCACTCTCATCAGTCATCCAAAATATGAAAATGCATCCAGTTCCCCCTTCAGTATAACAGGTAAAAACAGAAATATTTTGAGATATGAACTTATAAGGGGAAGGATAGCTCTACTAACTGTTGTCTCTAGCAATCCCAGGATCATATCCATTTTTTTTTTATATAGTTATACTTGCTTTTGACGATGGAGTGCTCAATCATTCAACTCCTTTGTAAAGTTGAATCAACCAAGTCTAAAGTGCCCTTCATGCAAGACAACTTATAACATCCCCACTCACAAAATGATCTTTTCTCCATTCTTCACTCCATTCCAGAAAACACCCCCCAAAATAATACTAAGAAAATAAAAATGAAGGCACAATCATATTAGCTAAACGCTAGCATATTAAAGAGGAAATTGTAATCAGTCAAGATGTTAGCCAAACAAGATTGAATGAAAGTGGCAAATTAGAAATGAAATTTCTTTAAAGAAATCCAATAAAATGCCATCTCTTTCGCACAATAGACTACAAAACTAGGTTGAGTTCAAGTAGTCCCTAAAGGAAAATCCAAATTCTCCATGGATGGATCACTAAAATTAGTACCCAATAGAATCATTCAAAACTCTGAAGTTTGGCTCTTGTTCCCAGCATGACTCTGTGGGAAAGTGAGTACCTGCGGAGAGTGGAAGACCATTTCCAGTAGGGGCGGCAATACTTAACACGACACGATAACATGACTCGAACATGACACTGGATAAGTGTTTGGAATTGTCTTGATCGTCCTAGGGTTGTAATCGTGTCAACCCAAATTGACATGCTAATTAAATGTGTCATTTTTATATTTGACCTGTCAACCCGTTTATAATCCGATGAGACCCATTTAACTAAACATGTTGTGTTTGTGTTAAAAATGAAATTTAACTTAAAATGTCGAATAAAAGTGTTGTGTTTGTGTTCAAAATGACTCATTTAACTAAATATGTCGTGTTCGTATTGATTTGACCATAATTGTATCCAATTTTAATTAAACTTGTCTTGTCGTGTCAGTAACTAACATATTTATTAAACAGATTATGCATGTCGTTTTGTGTTACTCATTTAATAATCATGTCAAGGCTTCTTGGCACGAATAATAATCGTGTCATGTTTGTGTCGGCCCATATTAGCATGATATCCATGTTGTCCTCACACGACACGCTAACACGAATTGTCACCCCCAATTACCAGTACTCTTTAGTACTTTATATTTCTTTCAACGAAAATTGGAGTGTTGCAATGGCAAGTACACGCGTTATTCCAAATGATATCATATATATACACGAGAGCTAATAAGAACCTAAGGTTTTACACTTGGTATCAAAGCCAACCTTGTTAGGAATAGAATCCTATCACATTCATGTTGCTTATGTAATTTGTATTTTTTATATATGCACATAAATACACATACACGTGCACGTGCATATAAATATTTGCTACATGCACTGCTCACCTTGATTTTTCGGCTATCAAAAAGTAACACACATGAAGGAGGTTGTATTAATCTCTTTAAGGATGAATAAACCAATACCTTATTACCCTTGTCTGCATATTAAAATCCTTAGATTCAATCAGTATTGCTGATATTGAATCCTTATCTATTATACATACAAAAATAATTTATCCACTCTTAATACTCACTAAGTGGATTCACAACCAATGAGTAAATGATTACACAATCTATGGTACTCACTGATCCAACAATCTATTTGCTGGAAATTGTGTCTCAAATTCCTATTCTAATTAAGTTTCTATTTTAGAGTTCTATTTTGTAAGGAAAATTTTTGTTAAGCAAGTAATCCTTTTCCAACAAGGAATTGGGTTTGGAACTCTATAAATAGGTACCTAGGTTATGGGCTGAAACTTATGAGAATGAGAGAGATTTAATCTCATGAGGGAGTTGATGGTAGTGGTAGTTTATGGGTTGGTAGAGCAGGAAAAAACGGACAACACTAATAACGAGCGATTACGCTTGTGAAGTGGTACATGGTAAGGTGGTGTTGATACTATATTGTTGTAATATCTCTATGAATCATAATGGAATCTCTTCTCATCCATGGATGTAGCCCTGAGTTTGAGTGAACCATGTATATCATGTGTTTGTGTGTGATTGTTTTGTTGCCTTTCATTGGATCTTTTGTGTTCGCGCTCTTCCTCTGCCCCCAACAAATTGGTATCAGAGCCGAAGGTGAAGGGGATCCAAAAAACACAGTAAGTCTCAACATTTGCTGCAACGGGTTTCAGTTGCAAGTTGAGTCAATCTGTTTGATTAGTCACGATGAAAATCATGATGGGTCGGCATGAGGCGTAGAGTATGGACAATTGGAGTTTTTCAGGAGTATCGTCAAGATTGAAGCTGCAAATTACAGAATTGTCCTGGTCATGAGAATCAATGATTAGCTAGATGGAATTTAAGCCAAAGTGGAGATTGTTGGAAATTGTGCCTCAAATTCCTATTATAATTAAGTTTCTATTTTAGATTTGTATTCTGTAAGGAAATTTCTTATTAAGCAAGTAATCCTTATCCAACAAAGAATTGGGTTTGGAACTCTATAAATAGGTACATAAGTTATGGGTTGAGACTTATGAGGATGAGAGAGATGTAATCTCATGAGGGAGTTGATGGGTAGAGGAAATTTATGGGTTGGTAGAGTAGGAAAACACCGACAACACTAATAGCGAGGGATTAGGCTTGTAGAGTGGTACATGGTAAAAAGGCATGTATGTGGTGTTGATACTCTATTGTTGTAATATAATTTAAGAATCATAGTGAAATCTCTTTTCATCCATATACATAGTCCTAAATTTGGGTGAACCATGTATATCTTGTGTTTGTATGTGATTGTTTTGTTGGCTTTCATTGGTTCTCTTGTGTTCGCGTGCTTTCGCTGCCCCCAACACTATAGGCACAAAGAAGAGGGGAAGCAGATGAACTAAGACCGCCAATGTATAGGCCCATGTGTCCACACAATACGGTATAGGTTGAAAATTTTGCTGATACACTTATGCGCACAATTTAATGAACTGTGTTACTTTGTGGACAATATTGACCCTCTTTTAGTATATTTAACTTTTATGCATAAATTTTGAGAACAAACATTATTTAAATGATGAAACTTCTACAGTATCGATGGCAATTATAAAATCAATATTCTCAAATTTTGTCCAACTAGTTTAAGTTATGCACTGTGTTTTGTATTAAAAGTTAAAACTACACATGGTTACATGCCCATATAATTTATTAGAGAGGATAGTGACATGATCAATAAGCAATAAAATGATCAATGTTATTTCAACTATGTTAAGTTATATCACAATTCAGATGTACTTATGGAATGACATAAAGCTCAGTGTGGATGATCACATGGGATTTATGAGTTTATTAGTTGAATCATACTATTCGGTAATTATCAAAAGTTTTTTTTTTTTCGGCATAACTTTTTAAAGAAGAGAAGTGTTTAATTCTTATTAGGCATCTATTAACCTGAGATTATGCCTGTAAAACTACTAGTGGTGTGTCAGTCTTTAAATAACCATAGCCCATGCCTTCTGAGTAGAAATGGTCAATTTTAAGTATCAACATAAAGTAGATTCCTGACATCTAGTGATAAACTCCTAAACACATGTGCTCTGTGATATATAGTATTTCAATTGTTGGCACATATAAACCAATTGTTAGTGTTGTACATTTGTGGTATACAAATAAATAAATAAATAAATAAATAAGCCACTCAGAATAAGAACATGATCAGAAATAATGGAGTCAAATTGAAAATTTCGAGCTGGGATGTTAGTTTATACCTGTAGACCAGGTTTGGAAGCAGAAAGTGAAAGCTCATCACATGCAAAAGCCACTACGATGTCAAGATAAGCCGGCGAGGACGATACAAACCATCCAAATAGAATTGTGGAGGATGACAGTTCAGTTGATAAGAGCTGTTTTGGCCACCAAAGCCTACACTTCCTTCTCGTTTTCATCTTATGATCTTAGCTAAGCTCTAGATCATAGATCGTGAATATCCTATAATTGCCTTCCAATGATCAATCATTGCATACGGAGATGACAATAAAATTGAAACATGATTTTCATCGCCCTATATTTGGTTGACAAAATTTGAGAAGAAAATTTGAAGGAAAATTATTTCTAGGTTTTGCGTTGTGTTAATTCCGTGAAAAATAAAATATCAAAATCGACAAAACTAAGCCAGATAATTTATATGTATATATCGGTGTCTACTTTTCCTGCATTTTCTCGTCAAACAAAAAGAGCAGAAGGCGAAAAAGGGGCATTACCTCTGAGAAACCATGAGAAATCAAAGCAGCAAAACCATGAGTAATGTAAGAATAGTGAGAGAAAACAAGAACAGTCTCTTGCCAGCGAACGATCGAGAAAATGGAGAGAGTAGTTACAGTAGTAGCGAAGAGTGAAGGGTATGAAACTCTGGAAACCTTTTCTTTGTTTTTGGGATGAAGAATGGTGTTTGTTTACCAAGTTACGCTATTCTTAACAAAAAAAAAGACCAAACCACATTTGGTCTTTTATTTTTAATTTTTTATACGGTAATATCTTTAAATATTGGTAGGACATGAAATGTATTGGATTTAATGAGATATTCCGTCTTAATCTAAAAGACATACTTTATTAAATATGCCCCCTAATTTGATTTCGAATAAAACAAGAAAAAGAAAAGATACAACTTATGAGTCCTTTTAAAAAGATATTGCAAATTCGGTTGATGTGTGTTTTCTTCGATGATAAATCACTTGTCATAGTACGAATTTCTGCATGATACGTCTATATTAAGGGTGTAGAACCTCAAGGACTGCAGCTGTTATGCTATCAAGATACTAGGATTATTTCTAATTTAATTCGAAAGAGAAGTTTAAAATTTTAATTTAACTAATTATTTAAATCTAACTTAAACTAAGTAATTGGAGAGATCAATAGATACATAGCCTAAGGTATTGCCTTCACTACTAATCCGCCCTCCAATGGTCAATTAGACATATTATTAGGATATTTTGTATGATCGGATGGCTACAAGCACATAGCATAATTTATAAAGAAAAATTCATATGTCTAGGGTCAAGCATAACCCATTTCGTTCAACATGGATCATCTAGCTAATTACATTAAACTAAAGATGTAATACGACCCATCTTCCCTTAATATGGTTTATCAAACCCCTAAACATATGATCATTAAACACCATTACATGATAAACCTACCCTACAGTCACAGAAAATAGAGAGATTGAGATCAATTAAAAATCTTTCTTCCTGCGACAAGGTAAGATATCAAATATAATTGAATTTAAGCATTAAATCCCAAAAGCAAGGTACAATCATTGTTTTGCCCTTAATCGTGCAATCATCATACAATAAATAATCCCAATAAAATATATAATTAAACCATTAGAGTTAAGATTAGAGTTACATCAATCATTTAGAAAGAGTTTAGCCACTCATGGAAAAGGAAGAAGACTTCATGGATGTGGAAACCTCCATCTTCATCTTTTCTTGCTTGATCTTGTCTTTGAAAACTATTCTCTAACTCTGAAGAAATTCTTTGAACTATACTATCAATGCCCCTCCTCTCTTCCTGTAGTTGCGAAGAAAACCCTATTTTTATAGCCCTTGAAACCACTCCAAAACATAATAGAAAATAGGAAATCTGTCAAACTCGGACTCTAAAATTCATGCTGTCTTACAGCCCAGTTCATAGTAAACTTCATTTTCATGAAATTTTCGTGAAATAAAAAGTTGTAGAGCTTTGAAATTTAGGACTAAAATTCAAGATCTGAAATAATAAGGTGATAAACCCTATTTTATTTTTTTTTTAACCTAACTTTAATCTCTCGCCTCATTCTTTCACTTCTGTGAAATTTAGGACTGAAAATTCAAGATCTGAAATAATAAGGTTTAAAAAATACGATCTGAAAATTAGGGAAACAAGAGCAGTTTCAAAAAACAGAACAAAATATATATATATACACACATTCAGAAAAATCATAAAATATTTTACATAAACTTAAATTCAAATCAAATTGAGAGGTTGTTTTTGTTGGTTGTAATTCAATAATTTTTTCAGTTACTATGTTGTTGGAGGCGATTCTGTTTGTTTTCATGAAAGTTCAATTAGGGAGAAGAAAGATGAAATAAAAAATAAATAAAATATGACACGTATTCAATTACATAAGGAATTGTTAGTAGTAAATTTTTTATAGTCGAGCAAAATAGCATCACTCTTATTTTAAATTCCCTTCACTTTTACAAAGACATTTTTAATAAAGACCTTTTTGACCTCAAGAAACTCCTCCAAACACCACCTTAAAATGAACCAAAACCATCTTTGGTGGGTTCACCTAGGTGATAGATGTTTGGATTCTACACAGTGAAACAAAAAATGGGAACTCCTCTCTTCACTCGCTCGCCATTAATTGGTGCTCTCTTGTTGCTACTCCTCTCTCTATCTCTATCTCTACCTCCATTCTCTCTCTCTCTCTCTCTCTCTCTCTCTCTCTCTCTCTCTGCTTCCTATGTCATCCAAATAAATGTTTTATTTGATTACACTGGATTAAATAAGAAAGGATTAATTAGTTATTGTATTGATGGTTTTACTTGTCCAATATCTTAATCAAGCATAGAGGGGTATAATTGTAATTTAAGGCTGCACAACTATTTTTATTTTGCAAAATTAAAAATAATTTGTCTCTCTTAAAATACACAACATTGTTATTCAATACATACTGAAGTAAAACATAGAGTTAGAGAGTCTTGTCGATTTTGGGTGATGAAACCTCAAAACTACATATGGGGCAAATCTACAAATACAAATTGAAAAAGTTAGAACCGAAAATAAAAAAGTAGAAGGCAATTTGGATTGTTTGAATCACAATGACACGCTGTCCATTGGAATTTTACCTTTTTAATTTGAAGCCACTTGCTTATGCATTCCAAATGGTATGGATGATCGCAAGAAAGTGCCACAAGCTTTTCACCTTCCTCGTATTCCACTTGACATATTACACACCTATTTGTTTCAACCACTTGTATTCACATTACATCAAACTCAAATATTGAACTAGTATTTAGTAAAAATTCATCATTCGTGCAAAAAATAAAATAAAAAATAAAAAATCATTTGCCACATACATAAAATAAAATAAAATAAAATAGTCTCTTGCTACCGCACTTGTTCTTGAAAAAAAAAAAAAAGAAAAAAAGAAAAAAAAAAAGAAGAAGAAGATAAATTACACGAACCGCCCTATGGTTTGTCATAATTACAAGAACCTCCCCTAAAGTTTGAGAAATTATTCGGACCTTTCATAAAAATGAAACTAAACTACACAAATCTTCCTTCCTAGTGATATACTTTTAAATGTCCTAACAGATTTGTCTAATTTACTAAAATGTCCTCAAGTTGTTATGGTATTAACTATAGTATTCATCTGTATGTGTAAGAGAGAGAAAATGGACGAAGGGGAATATGGGATTTTTAATTTTTCAATACATGACATTGGTAAAATTCGTCATATATTTGCGTTGAGTGTAACAGAATGAAGGTCCGTGTAGGTTAGTTTCATTTTTAAGAAAAATGTTTGTAATTATGGCAAATCATTTGGAAGGTACGTGTAATTTACCCATAAAAAAAATGATAATAATAAATAAATAAATTATTTTCAAAAGAAAATCACAACGTAGCTTACCGGTCAATTACAGTTTTGCAATCCACATATGGGCAAGAATAGGGATGCAGGGATGAAGAGATCTGGTCCGGTGATAGTCCTTTGCTCTCTTCTCCAACAATCTCTCCCAAAGCAATCAATTCCTGTTAGTGTTCAATTTTCATAAGCAAATTAAGAAATCATGACTTTACTTATCAAATATAAATGAAGGTATATTTTGTCTACTCACCTCATACGAGAGTTCATCAGGATCAATATCATCTTCCTCCATCTCCTACATGAGTAATTGATTCTGTCATTAATTTCACTCATTCTTGATTCATTCACAAGCATATATATATATATATATATATATATATATATATATATATATATTGTTGGCTTCTGTTCTAATAATATTTTGTTGAAAATAGTAACCTAGATACACATACAACACTATTATAATGTTTGGAAGTAAATAAAATCGAGGAAAGTATTTTTATTTCACTTGATCCCAACTTTATCTTATTTTAAAATGACTAGAATATATGATCATATATGTTTCACGTAGGCAGGGGCGAAGCCAGAATTGCAAAGTAAGGGGAGCCAAAGATAAGAAAATTTGAAGATGAACACAATAAAACTTGTGAAATATTAAAAAAAAATTCTAGTAGAAGTGAGATATGGTAAGGATATACTATGTTCAATATGGTCTTACTTCCATGTCCAAGTCACTAGATCATGAAATTGATCATTTTTTAACTGAAAATCCAATCCGAGAGGACCTAGAAACCTAATTTACCAAGTTTAGATCTTAACTTAAAATCAGGTATAGAAACATGGTTGTTATCCACCATCAAAGTATCCATTGGAATTCATTTTCCGAGTAAAAATAAAATAAAAAATTATCTAATTGAGTCTTGAACATCCATTCAACTATTAATTGATAAAGGTACTTAGATTTTGAAATTAGACTGCCCATGTTCTAGGGAATATGGGTTTATGTCCTAATTTGAATGAAAAGTTGGATGTTTCCTTACTTTCTAGTAGTTGTAAACTTTTTGAATTGTGATTTCTAATTAACATAATTTATGCACTTACTTAAGGGGGAAAAAATCGAAGATAAACATAGAAACAGTTTGAAAAAGAAGGATAGTAGCAGCATATAGCCCAGATAAACACATAAACAGTTGCGCCAATAGGAAGAGGAAAAGTAATACTACAAATTGATTACATATGCACTGAGCTTATATGAACAACAGTACCAATTTTTTATTTTATTTTATTTTTTTAATTGGACCTGGGCTACAGCCTAAGTTAGCCCATTAATAGTTCCTCCCTTGCATGTAGGTATGTGTAACTATTATATTTAAATGTCTAATTACACCCAATATTCCCATTAACATGCTATGTAGTAGGTATAATTTTCACTAACATAACCATTTAGTCTTAACTCTCATGACTCTTGATTTTACATAGCGTTCACCATCACATTAACTCTCATATACTAATTCTCATTAAGATAATTTACGGCCTACTAGCATACTAAATGCCCGCATACATTATCAGGCACGGACCTGCCTGGGGACTGGGGGGGGCCAATGCCCTCTCTGGATTTTTTTTTTTTTTTTTTTGTATTATATACTACACTATTTTTAAAAATTTATATAATGCCCGTCCTGTAATTTCACAAATGCCCCCATTATATAAGTTCTCAAAAATATTACTTTATCTCCTAACCTTACTCTTTCACACTTCAGTTCTCTCAAGACTCTCATCTCTGCCTCCTAAACGAAAATTAGGGATTCAACCTTCAAAATTCACTACGGTGATTTGGTTCTCTCAAGACTCTGATCTCTTAAGACTGATTTCGGCACCAAAGTATGGTCACTACGGTGAGTTTGATATACTTAATTTTGACCCTATTGTTTCATCCTTTGACCCACAAAATTTTATTTTTTTAGAATTATTCCAATTCCCATATATAAATGCACACACACATAAATTTATATAGAAAAGAGAGAGATTACCAATGATTTGGTTAGATGATTTGTTCACTGTATTTTTTTTGATTTGTTTACTGTATTTTTTGATTTGTTTACTGTATTTTTTTGATTTGTTTATTGTATTTTTTGATTTGGTTAAATTTTTGATTTGTTTACTGTATTTTTTTTTTTTTTTGTTTACTATATTTTGATTTGGTTACAGATTACCAGTGATTTGGTTAGATGATTTGTTTACTGTATTTTTTTGTTTTTTTTTTGAAAGACGGAGGATTGAGATTCTGAAAAGTAATATAATAAGGTTTTATAATTTGTAAAAAGTTCTCAAAGAGGGACTTTATCTATAAAAGAAAATTGTTTGTCGCCTCTAAAATTATGGTTGGATGATTGGATCAGTACTTGTTTAGTTGCTTTAACTTTTAAATCAATGGAAAGTAGGACATTCTGTTCCCTTTGTAGTAGCCAGTAGGAACTGTAGGATGTATGTAGTACATGGAATTAACTTTCTTTTATCTTTGGGTAAAGTGGGTTCAAAATTTTGCAATAAAGTTTTATTGAAGTCAAATTAAATACTGAAAAATTCTGCTAAATTTATTTATTTATTCATTTTTGTTATTTACAGCTATTTCAATTGATTGTTGGTGTATGTTGAGGCTCTGTGTACAATAACAACAATTTTGAGAAATTGGGAGTGTTTAGTGTTGCAACTTGCAAGATCAAGTTCTTTTGTACATGAATGCCCTTTGATTTATTTTTTCTAATAGCAATGCATATGCAATTTCTAATATTTTATTTTTGTTTTTTTGGTACAATGAACAACAGCACAGACGCACAATTATTTTGTTATATGAAATTTCTTAATATTTAATTTCTTTTTTCTTTTTAGTGCAATGCACAACAACACAGGCGCACAATTTGTTATAATATGCAATTTATGAATTTGTTTATTTTGTTGATGGGAAATTGATCACTAAGAAACCAAACTAAAATGTTGTCACTCTCTATAGGAAATTGATCAATAATAGACAAATTTGTGACATGAGGGTTGCCACTATCTCTAAGAAGAAATAATGGCTCTTCAAAGATAAGTGATGTAGAGATTAACCTTGAGGATCTGGCGGCAGATCCTGGACTACGAACTCCGATATTGAATTACCATCCCGATGTCCAAGATCAAATTCGGAGAGCATATATACTAAAGGGTCCTTGCCAACCTAAAAAATATCATTTTCCTTATAAGAGTTATGGGCAATGCTTACGACGATTCAACCCGGCATGGTTTAATGCATTTTCTACTTGGTCAGAATATAGCATAGATAAAGATGAAGCATATTGTCTATGTTGCTATCTTTTTAAACCAAAAATTGGAGAACAATCGGGTGGTGATACCTTCGTGAGTGAAGGATTTTCTAATTGGAAGAAGGGTTTGGAAAAATTACAAAACCACGTTGGAGGTCCGAAAAGTGCCCACAACCAATGTTCCAGTATGTGCTAAGCATTAATGAAGCAAAAGCAACACATTCAGTCAATTTTCTTCAAGCAATCGGATAAGACACGAATTGCATATCGAACACGATTAATTGCATCAATTGATTATGTTCGACATCTTTTGCAATAAGGTCTTGCATTTCGTGGTGACGATGAATCTGAGGATTCAAGCAACCAAGTGAATTTTCTTGAGACATTACGATTTCTTGCGAATCATAATGAAGATATCAATGCGGTTACATTCAAAAATGCTCCTGAAAATCACAAATTAACGGCACCGAAGATCCAAAAGGACATTGTTAATGCCATTGCATTGGAGACTCTTAATGTTATTATCGAAGATATTGGCGATGCTTTTTTTTTTTTTTTTTTTTTCTATTCTAATTGATGAATCTCGGGACATATCAACAAAGGAGCAAATGGCTTGTGTTTTATGGTATGTGGACAAGAATGGGCATGTAGTTGAACGTTTTGTGGGTCTAGTCCATGTTTTTGATACCACTTCCATCTCACTCAAGAAGGCGATTGATGCTTTATTTTATAGACATGGGTTAAGCATTTTTATATTACGAGGGCAAGGTTATGATGGGGCTAGTAATATGCGAGGTCAGTTCGATGGTCTCAAAACTCTCATCTTAAAGGAAAATGAAGGTGCTTTTTACATTCATTGTTTTGCCCATCAACTCCAATTGGCTCTCGTGGGTATAGCAAAAAAACATGAGGATGTTGTTTCTCTCTTCACTTTTGTTGCTAATCTTATAAATGTAGTTAGCGGTTCATGTAAACAGTGTGATATTCTTCGAGAGAAGCAAGCTCCTATAGTTATCGAGACACTTAACAATGGTGAGATTTCAAGTGGGTAAGGCCTAAATCAAAACACTTCTCTTAAACGAGCTAGTGATACACGTTGGGGTTCACATTATGACACTTTGATTAGCGTAATTACTATGTTTTCAGCTATTGTTACTGTACTTGACACACTTGTAGAGGATGGGTCATCAGAAAAGAAGTTTGAAGTAAATCTTTTATTAGAATTTATACAATCCTTTTAACTTCATATTTTGTTTGCATTTGATGAGAGCTGCTTTGGGAATTACAAATGATTTGTCAAAGGCATTTCAAAAGAAAGATCAAGATATTGTTCTTGCTATGTCCTTGGTCAAATTAAGCAAAGTCCAATTACAAAGGATGAGAGAAAGTGGATGGGATTCTTTACTCAATGAAGTTTCTTCTTTTTGTGTGAAACATGACATTCCTATTCCTTATATGGATGATACATTTCTACCTCGAGGAAGACTACGACGTAAAGCTCATGATAAGTCGAATTTGCATTATTATCGCGTTGATTTGTTTTATTCCATCATAGATATGCAACTTCAAGAGCTAACTAGTTGTTTTACTGACTGAAATAAGTTCTGAGTTGTTTCTTTGTGTGGCTTGCTTGTGTCCAGATGATTCATTTATTGGGATTTATATGCCCTAGCATAGCATATTCCTGTTTGGATTAAAGTGACATATGTTCCTGACGTTTTTGAAATATTTACGTTTTGTACAATTGGTGAATTGATGTTTCGAAATATTATGTTTCGATTCATTATAGAATTGATAGTGTCCTCTTGATTACAAGAGATATTTATATATGTATGTGATGGCGATTAATACATGAATATAAATAATAATCATATATTGTTCATAGTCGGTAATTATGGATGCAATCATAACTAATTAAGACTTGAACTGGATCCGTGTTAGGTTGAGATATATTGCGAGAGCCATCGTATGCAATTGCTCCCTATCACCGTCA